ACTCCTTGCTCAAATTATACGATTAAGAGCTCATTTTCTGGATCATTCTATAAAGAGAATCCGACTTGATAATGCAGGAGAATTTACCTTCCAAACATTTAACGACTATTGTATGTCGATTGGGATTGATGTGGAGCACACCGTGTTGCTCATGTCCATACGCAAAAAGGTCTTGCTGAATCTTTGACTAAACAATTACAATTAATCGCTAGACCATTATTAATGAAGTGTAATTTACCTTCATCAGCTTGGGGACATGCTATTTTACATGCAGCAAATTTAATTCGGCTTAGACCAACTGCATATCATGAATATTCCCCAATGCAATTAGTTACTGGACAAGAGCCAAACTTAGCACACATAAAGATATTTGGTTGTGCTGTTTATGTTCCGATTGCTCCACCTCATCGTACAAAAATGGGTCCTCAAAGAAAATTGAGAATTTATGTTGGATTTGAATCTCCCTCGATAATCAAATATCTTGAACCGATGACTGGTGTCTTATTCACTGCACGGTTCGCTGACTGTCATTTCAATGAGACAGTATTCCCGACCTTAAGGGGAGAAGATAATAAATCAGACCCAAGTACGAAAGAAATAACATGGAATGCAACAGGATTATCACACATTGATTCTAGATCAAATATATGTGAGCAAGAGGTGCAAAAGATAATCCATTTAAAAAATGTTGTAAATGAGTTGCCTGATGCATTCATTGATACAAAAGAAAGTGACAAAGTCACATATTCCTGCAATGAATGCTCCTGCCAGAATCGAAATCCCAGCAGAGAATTCCGAAAAATCTCTTGCAAATGATTCTTCTATACGCAAAAAACGTGGCAGGCCACTTGGATCAAAAGATATAAAACCAAGAACAACTAAAAAGCATGAATTGATCTGTGATGTCAAAAATGTTCATCCATCTGAACAAGAAAATGAACAATTTGAAAATACTGACATAGAAAATGATATTGACAAAACAAACATCTCAAATGACGATCCAACTTCCTCAAATGAGGAAGATATTCCACATAATGATAGAAACATTGATAATTACGAAATTTCAATAAACTACGTTTCTAATGGAATGTAATGGAATCGAAAAGATATTGATATTAATGAGATATTTGTCTATGCCGTTGCCACGAATGTAATGAATGAAAACAATGACAATGAGCCAACATCAATTGAAGAATGTTGGAAACGACACAATTGGCCAAAATGGAATGAAGCTATTCCGTCTGAATTAAAATCACTTGAAACACGTGATGTTTTGGACCGATAGTCCTTAAGCCATAAGGCGTAAAACCAGTGGGTTTTAAATGGGTATTTGTGCGTAAACGCAATGAGAAGAATGAAATCGTACGATATAAAGCCCGACATGTTGCCCAAGGTTTTTTCTCAAATGCCGGGAATTGATTATGAAGAAACATATTCTCCAGTAGTTGATGCAACTACATTAAGGTTTCTCATTGGCATGTCTATTTTTGAAAGGCTGCAAATCCGCCCAATGGATGTAGTAACTGCATATTTATACGGTTCACTTGATACAGACATTTATATAAAAGTTCCCGATGGATTTAAAATGCCTGAAGCTTATAGCTCGAAATCTCGAGACATGTTTTCCATTAAACTACAAAAGTCATTGTATGGACTAAAACAATCTAGACGAATGTGGTATAATCATCTCTGTGAATACCTTCTCAAAGAAGGATATAAGAATGATCCAATTAGTCCATGTGTTTTCATCCGGCGATCAAATTCGGGATTCGCCATAATTGCGGTATATGTTGATGACTTAAACATTATTGGAACTCCCGATGGAATTGAAAGTACTGCAAAATATCTTATGAAAGAATTTGAAATGAAAGATCTCGGAAGAACCAAATTTTGTCTCGGACTTCAAATTGAGCATTTGAAGAATGGAATTTTCATCCATCGATCCAATTACACCGAGAAAGTTTTGAAGCGGTTCTACATGGACAAAGCTAATCCATTGACTTCACCAATGTTGATTCGATCTCTCAACATACATGATGATCCATTCCGTCCCCGAGAAGACAACGAAGAAATACTCGGTCCCGAAGTTCCATATCTAAGTGCTATTGGAGTTTTAATGTATTTAGCTAATAATACTAGACCAGATATTGCATTTTCTGTAAATTTATTAGCTAGTTACAACTCATGTCCAACAAGGCGTCATTGGAACGGGATCAAGCACATATTCCGGTATCTACGTGGTACAGGTTATCTCGGATTATTCTACCCCAAAGATGCAAAAGTCTCTTTAATCGATATGCAGACGCTGTATACTTATTAGATCCTCAAAAGGTGAAATCACAAACCGGGTACGTATTTACTTATGGTAACACCGCAATCTCGTGGAGATCTATGAAACAGACTTCGACAGCTACATCATCAAATCATTCGGAGTTCATTGCACTTTATGAAACCGGGAGAGAATGCATGTGGCTGCGATCTATGATTCAACACATCCAAAATGAATGCAGTATGGAACCTCTTACTTGTCAGCCTACTATGATCTATGAAGACAACACTGCGTGCATAGCTCAGATTAAAGAAGGCTACATCAAAGGTGACAGAACAAAACATATATCACCAAAAAAATTCTCTACTCATGACCTGGAGAAAGAAGGGACGATCAACATTCAACAAACCAGATCCAGTGAAAATCCGGCTGATCTCTTCACCAAGTCATTGCCCCCGGAGAAATTTGATAATCGCTTTCGCGGCGTTGTAGTAAAACGGAGTCTAACCTTTCGGTTTTTCCCCGAGTATCGTGTCTCTATTGAGGAATGACGGAGAAGTTTCTTAATTTAATTTTAGTCACAGGCTATCGATAATCGTTGGAAGCTTTTTCAATATAGGAGAGTGATTGTGTTCTAAATTATGCCAATTTATAACTAGGAGCAATGTTCAATTTAAAGATTAATGTTTAAAGATTAAATTTTCTAAAGATTGATGCAAATAAGGGCAATGAATTGAGTAATTAGAAATGCATATATTCTTGGACCTAGTAATCAGGGAAATTAAAACTAAAATTGGACTAATAATTTCTTTCTCATAGACAAAGATAGAAACTATTTTCATTATTTTATCCTATTTCTAGGTGTCATTAATGTGATTAAAATGGTTGGCTTAAATTAAATTCTAATCCCATAGACAAGGTAGAAATAATTTTCCAATATTTTAATTAATAAAAATAGCCAAATTCATTTACTAGTTAAACTCTTTATTTAAGCAATTGAATCTATTTCTCATAGACAAGATGTAAATCCCTTTCATTAAATTATCCTATTTCGAGGCCTTATTAATGTGCTCGAATATGGTTGGCTTAAATTATTTTCTAATCTCATTGACAAGGTAGAAATAATTCTCCAAGAATTTAATTAATGAAAATGGCTAACAATTATTAATTACTATTTCATCATGTTAAACAACTAGTCCAATTTATTAATTTTAATCCCTAATTTTCGTTCAACAAGTCAATCCATATTCTTTTACTCAATTCATGCCCAAAACAAATTTAGCTACTAAACATCATTTTTACAATTAACAATATAATGAATATATTTAACATTAACAAGGAATTAAACATGTATAATAGCAAATAATTAAACAAAAATTATATTCTGGAAAAATAAACTTGTAGGAACTAAAATATAACTTTCTGGATTTTTCACGAATTTATGAACCTAAAATAAAATTTTAACAACTAATTGACAATTTTCCCAACATTAACTATAAACTGCAAAAAGCAACTAAAAATATTTTAATTTCGTGCTAAATTTTTTATTAACTACCTGTGGTTATACTATAGTAAACTAAACTGGAATTAGGGCCGAAACTAATTTGTTTCCTTTTTTGAGTATTTATTGTAATTTATGCAATAATATCAAATAATTACCGAAATTAATTAAAAACTACTTCTGCTTCGTGAAAATTAACTTTAATCAGATAATTAATTACCTTGAGGCCAGTGAACAACTATATAATTAATTGGAATGAATTCAACATGAACAACTATTTTATTTAATTTTTGGAAGTAAATGTGAAACACTTGAAAAATAATCTGGAAATTTTCGAAGAATAGATCGAACAAACAAAGCACAGATTCAGATTCTACTAGTTGAGAAGATGAAAATACATATAAAGAACTTACAATTTGAAGCTAAAATGAAGAAGATATGGAGGTTTGACGCTTTCTCTCTCTAATTGCTCTTGGAGCTCGGAAATAGCAGAAGAAAGAGCCTTTTTAGAACTGATTTAGGGTTAGAGATGGTGTGTTTGAGATGGGAAAAAAGCCTGGTATTTATAGCCCAAATTTTCCCAAAGGCGCTCGAACAGGCGGCCGCCCTTCACTGCTCACCGGCCGCCTTCCGTCTTGTCGCCGGCAGCTCAAATCGTTCCGTCTTCGTCAGCCGCAGGCGGTCCAGTAGGTGGCTGCCTGCCGTTACTGTCTGGCCACCTGCCGTCAAATCGCACCGGCCGGTGGTTGCTCGTGTCGCCTTGTGCCGCAGGCGGTCACCGAAGGCGGCCGCCCTCCGTCTGGTGTCGGCAGCCTTCCGCCATTTGCTGGTTCGGGTCAAAGTCAACGTTTGACTTCCAATTTTTCCGTAGGCGGCCAACCAGGCGCCCAGAAGGCCGACTACTTGGGCGCCTTCTGCTAAATTCGTCTGGCAAGTGCTACGTTTCCTGCTCTGATGTTTGCTTCTTCCGGTATGAATTCATTTGTTACTCAAATTGACTCATTTTGTGCTCAATTAACCCGAAATTCTGGCAAATATATTATAAATGTGATTTTCTCCTGATTTCATGAAACTTGAACAAAAATATCTAAAACATGCATTTTCTTTCTATTTTCAATCAAAAATCGCTTAAATTTGATAAGAAAAATAAGTACAAGAATAGACTTATGTGAGCTGCCCTCTTTTTCACTTCATCTGGTTTTTATCCCCATTCCCAATCTTCTCCATAAGAGCAATCAGGTCAATATCAGTGTTCATATATTAGAGATCTAAGCCGCGATGTTGGGCATTTTACGGCGCAAAGCTGCTTCCGGCGCGTCATCTGCTTCGGTTCGTAGTATATATGAATGTATATATGTGTGCTCATGTGTTGAACGCGCGATTAGTTCCTTGCTTTTTTATTTTCGTTAGTTTGAATTTTCTGGAGCAGAGTTTAGGGAAATCCTTGCGTGCAATTCAACCTGGATTATTGAGTCCCAAAGCATGCTCCTCTGTTGCTGACGAGGTAAGACTATTTATTTGAATTGCTCTTTTTTCGGTTGATGATTGGTTAAGTTCTAACAAAATATTTATCGGTTATTTTAATTGAGTCATTCAATCGTTTATTGGTATACTAGTTTGCAATTATTTGGATTTAGTACGCTGTACCCTTATACTCCGTAAGTTTTAGTTTGATTTAAATGGCATGTGAACTCATACTTGCTTTTGTATATTCTTGATACGTAGTATATCATATTGAACATCCGCTAGGAAGTCGATACTTTTTTAGTGTCTGAATGAATAAAGTTTTATATTTTATAACTAAAACTTTGTTAGACACTCTGAGGTTAAAAGCTCATAGTATCAAGCTCAAAAGCAGAAGCTATTACGTAGTATTTTAAAAGGGGTGTGTAAAGTTATGCATTTAAAAGCTTCCAAGTATCAAAGGGAAGAAATAGGATTGAAGTTTTAACTATAAATGGATAACTGTGCCAACTTTGGTCTGTGGATGTTTCTATATCACTCCGTAATAGGGTGTTGGATATTTCTAACTTACATGATATTTCAAAGCTGAACTTTATAGTTACAGAAGTGTGTTTCTATGGAAAGATAATTGTTACATTTAACATTTTCTTAATGTTGTGCCTGGTGCCATCAAGAATTCATCCGAGTAGAATATTTTTCAGAAGCAATCACATCTGTGAACTATGGAATCAATGGAACACTTCTACATCTTATCAAAACTGAACATTATCTATGACATTTCATTCCAGTATGTTTTCAAATGTTATTAATGGGTGGATTCTTATTGGTTGGAGTCTTGGAGCTATTGCTGTTGCTAAGTTTTTGTAATATAGTAATATTTATGCAAAAATTTGAACAGATCTTGATTCACCCAAGCAATTTCCAGTGTTTAGGCCCAGATCTTTCCTCAAAGTTTATGCAAAAAAGCATGCTCTCATATTAATTGATGGCTAAACCTAGAAATGTCCTCAAAAGTCTATTATTAGTTGATGGCTAAATCTTAAGTCTCCACCATGATGGTGGACTACATCTCAAATTAACTCTTCCATGGAAATATATCAGAACTTTGTTCATTTTAAGGTTAGATGAAAAATTAGGCAAGACTTCATGACTTATGTGACAGAGGAAATAGCATTTTGCCGTAACGAAAATGCTTATTTTCATGTAGTTTTAAAGTTAGATCTAAAGGTATGTTATTTGTTGTGGAATTGAGAAGGCCTGGCCTTAAACGGGGTGATAACAGTGTGTTGTAGGTTAAAGGCCCACTTGCTTTCGCTCAATTGCATTAGCAATTAAGCATCACATAAATGTATTTTTTCCTTTTTTCTTTGACTAACTTGTGTACATCACATGAATGATTTATTTAAATGTTTTGAACTGAATGTATATTTCACATCAAATGTGCAGTTCACTGCAAAGATCAATACATCACGGGCATTTTCTTTTACTGGTTCTAGATGGGCAGGCGTAGCTAGCCAATTCAGGTATCTTCAATTAACTCCTTATGATCACTTTTTATTTTCACAAAAACAATTTTTCTGTCATCCACAGTTTGTTTTCATTTTTAATGCAGCTCAAACTCCGCTACAAATGATAGTAGTGGTATTTACTGTGGAAATGTGGACGCAGATATTGATTACAAGGTAGATTCTTTTTCCTTAAGTTCTTTACTGCCCCTTGTGACATCTATTATCCGCACCATAATATGATCAACTTGTGAAATGTTCTTAGGTAAACCCATCTGTGGTTGCATCTTACCGGAAAGGATTATTTGTTGGTTTGCCAACCAAGCATATCGAGTTTCACCGGGTAATGGTAGTGATGCGTTTGACTGAAAAATAACATGACATGTTCTCCTGATGACTCTTTGCTTCAGTTGCTGTTGATATGGGAAGTCACTCTGTATGTAACATTTTTGCATAATTAAATTTCAGGCTTTCTCTACAATTGCAGATAGACCTGCAAACATAAGTGATGATGGGAAAAAGGTCCTTCGTCCATTATCACCTCATCTTGCTGTTTATAAGCCTCAGACAAGTTCGACATCATCTATTCTACATAGAATATCTGGAGCTTACTTAGCTGCTGTCGTTTTCGGCTTTCATGTTATTTATCTGAAAGTCGGCTCAGTTTGCCTCAGCTACAACAATTTCTACCAATTATTGTTTTATTCATCAACTCTCAGCCAACTTGCTCTTGCAATAGCTCCCGTAGCAATATCCTATCACGTGGTCAATGGGGTTCGTCATTTAGTGGCGGATTTTTCAGGATATCTCTTTCCAAAAATTGGAAGAAAAAAGCTGAAAGGGCTGTAAAGTGGGATGACTCAAGTATTTACCTTGTTCCCGATAAAACTTTGTGTTTTGCTATAATATTTTCTCATTTTCTGCAATCTCATGCATTTCTAGATCCCAGAAGCTCTGTGATTCTTGGTATGCGTTGGATTGGATCTGATCTTATATCAACTGATGATGATATTTGCAGTTGAAATAGAAACAAACAAGTGGTTTATGAATAAATATTGTGAATTATTATTGTATTTGCAATTTTGCATTCAGCATCCCCTCATAACCATTCCTTATTAAAATTCAAATATGAATAAAACTGAAATGAATATCAAATGCACACCTAGTATTTATTTGGCAGTAATATTTGGCTGATCCAAAGATTCAATTCAAATAGGGCGAAGTAGAGGGATTGGGTGGTTAAGTGCAATTTAATAAGACAACCGTTGAAAACATCTTAATCTTTTTATAGAGGGCTTATCTCGGGTCTCTAAAAATAAACTTCAAATTTGACTAATTGTTGAGGTTTGCATGTTGAGCTAACTTGTTTAAAACTCAACAGGGATAAAAGATATAGGGGCTGTTTGTTTTTCAGCGAGCCACCACACTGTTTTTAGCAGCATTTGTAGTTAAAAAAACAGCGGTTTGCTCAAAATGCCATTATATAAACGGGACCATAAAAATATTTGTCAGTTAAACTTTTTGGTAACTGTTTTTTAATGGCCAAAAAGTTCGTAAATAAAAAAATGTAGCCGTTTGATGAACATATTCTTTTATATAGCCCTGTTTGGCAAAACAAAGTGTTGCAACAAACTTATTTCTTGTCCATTTTGGTAGTGTGCGATACTGAAGAATGTAAATAATCCGTGGTTGAGATAATTTAAAAGACAGAAAGATAGCGAATCATACTTTGCAAAAGTTGACCGGCACGGAGAATAATAAAGTAAAAATTGTGTGGTTGAGGTTTGTGCAGAGGAGAGAGAAATAACAGAAACCACAAAATATTGATGAGATATTACCCAAAATAGGACTAAAAAGGTTTGAAAATTCCAAAATAGTACTTCCATGTTTTTTCTTCCTAAAATAGAACTAATTACTGTCATGTTTTGGCAGTACCAGACTTCAAACATGGCAGTATTTCCCAAACTTGGCAGTAATTACTCCTATTTTGGGAATAAAAAACATGACAGTCCTATTTTGGAATTTCCAACCTGTTTTAGTCCTATTTCGGGAACTTTCCCAATATTGATTAAAAGGGAAAGTGACATAATATTTAGGGACATCCCAAAAAGGAAAGATGACAAAGTTTTAAGGGACGAAGAGAGTATGAAACAAAACAATAATGTTTAGTGTGCATACATAATACATATTGCATCCCTTGGCGCATAAACGTAGATAAAAAATGTATGTTTGAGAAAAGTTCAATATGAATGTCAATTGATGTGTGTGCAAGAACCATTAATGACACATCGATTTTAGGGTGGACCCGGTGCGCCGGTCCCGGTCGAACTGTAACCGGATCAGGTACTGTTCGAGACCGTCTCTAGACTAGTTTTCCGATTCCGGTCTAGGACCGGCCCCTCCAGCCTCGGGCTTCATTACCCGGTCTTGGGGTAGAATTTTTGGGATGTCCTGGTCCACTCCTGGCTCGATCACCAAGGGCTTGACACTGATTTTTTTTTTTTGACCGAGACTCGGCCCAGAACTGGACCGTCCGACCTACCTGACCCAGTCCGGGACAACTATTTAGTTCACCGGTCCCGAGCCTCCTTTTTCTTTAGCAAGACCGGCCACGGCGGCCAGTCTCGGCCGGAATTGGAACCGGACCGGGTCCACGTGCCTAGTTGATTTCCATAAGCACATATATAAACATGTCATCGAGGTACACACGTCAGCGCATTGAATCGCACTTAAGAGTTTGTATATGTGATGAATTTAAAGTATAAAACTTCCCCAATTAGGAGTGAATGAGTCATATTTTAGGAAAAACAATGGTGGCTATATTTGTGCACTTTGTCTATGTTTTAATCTATTTAAGGAATTTTGTCTATTATTTTATTGTACTTTTTTTAGTCCCGAGTACCTTTTTAATCCTAGTTTTTTTTTAAATAGTGGGCTGCCCCTAGTGAGGAGTAGCAGGCAGTCTTTAGTTTGTAATAGCATAGCTATTGGGCAAGTTTAATCTTGTCGGAGGAGTACCCGTGCTTGTTCTATCCACATTACTTCCACAATATTGTCATTGATTTTCAGTTTTAAATCCCTCTTGAATCTTTCTGAAGGACACAGTAATATGTGTAGAATGTCTATGTCATAGGATTTTATATGTTAAATTAATTTAAGAACTTCAAACACCAGCATGGACATTCATTAACAATCATGCTGGTTTTAGTCGCTGCCCATAAAGATAACTTAGGCTCTAGTTTATGGATCTCCCAATAACTCTTTATAAGTGGATAAATGATGTTTTGCGAGTGATATTGTTTGTCCTTTTGGTTTGGGAACAGATGCAGTTTGAACTTCAAAGATATTATTTGTATTCTTCGTACTTCCCCTGCCAGACCGCCATAGACCTTCTTCTGGGAATTTTCCTTATTGCCTTCCTAGTTGATGTTCAATCCTGGATAGTAATAAAAGATTTGTCCTAGTTGCCACAATGAGATAGGGTCGCACTCAAACATCTCTTTCATTCCCTTCACTTGTGACCACCTCTTGATGTCCTGATGTTTAATCCGGAATTTCAGATGGTGCCAAAGGGTTTAATGCACCAAACCCCCCTGTGATTTGGAAATTCGGCGCATTAGCCTTCTGTGATTTAAAAAATGCGTCAAACATCTTTGTGTTTTAATTAATCATGCACAGAACCCCCTTTATGAATAAATTTAACAATTTGAAAATCACTTTTCCTAATATTTTGATTGAATATGCAAATAAATATGTCAAAATCTCTGAATCATACAAAAATGTTAATCATTTTTCTTTTATTTGACAATTGAATTTGTTCACATAAGGGATTTGGCGCATGATTAATTAAAACACAGGGGGGTTTGACGCATTTTTTAAATCACAGGGGGCTAATGCGCTGAATTTCCAAATCACAGGGGGTTTGGTGCATTAAACCCTGGTGCCACAAGTTATAAAGAGAATGGTGGTTTAATTAGACATTGCGTTGAACTGGCTAACAAATTGAATCCACTCTTTTAGTGTGGCTAAGCGCAGTGCTTTTATGGCCAAGTTGAGCAACCCAACTCAATCCCAAATCTCACTTCAGTAACCTATTATCAAGTTGCATAATATACTAATGCTTGTGTATTCTGGATATCGACAGCAGCAGGGGAACTTCTAAACTGCCTTGCGGCTCTTGGGACACTTCTGGAACTGCCACCTGCTCTTCTTGGTCTAACAGTGCTTGCGTGGGGAAATTCAGTGGGCAATCTTGTGGCAGATGTTGCTGTTGCTAAGGCTGGCCAGCCCGCAATGGCCATGGCAGGGTGCTTTGCAGGGCCCATGTTTAACATGCTTTTCGGGCTGGGGACAGCTCTGGTTATACAAACAGGGAATGTTTATCCGGATGCGTATGAGCTGCGTTTCCATGTGAGCATAGTTGTGGCCTTTGTTTTCTTGATCTTGAGTTTGATGGGGTTTCTGTCTCATCGGACTTTACACACTATTCATGTTAGTAAGCTTGGTCATTGCAAAGTTTTCTGCATAATTTTTACGCGGATTTCCAGGCAAGTTTCTGCAGTGCATGTATCATTACATTCTTTTACTGCATTGTCTTTCGTTTTCTTTCTTTGCAATATTTTTTCTCTTAATCAAATAGCAGTTTATGGCAAAAGGAAGAAAACTTAATAATTAAACCGTAATTTTGAGATAAAAGACCAAACTGTCCTGAACCAAACCCCATTGTCACTTTGGTTTTGTTCTGTTTTGTAAGAAAAAATTTCAATCACCTGAACTCACTTTGGTAGTAATATTATATGCTGTACGGTTTTGTTCTTATTTTCATACTAGTTTTTATAACGCGCGTTGCGTGACTGAATAATGCCCAATTTTGTTTTTTCATAGACATGTAGATGCATTTCGTTTATAACAAATAAAATGAGAAAGGGGTCTGGAACTTTTACATTACGGAAAGAAATAATAAGTTTTAAGTTGAATGTATTTGTAGTTGAATAATTTCCATCCTTTGTGTAAAAGTCGAGGTTGTACCATATTGTTATTTGAAACTTGGAAGATGCACCCGTATTTTAATTTATAATGCATGCTCAAGAATATAATACACCATATTCTGAGGTTGCTAATCGGGCTAGTTGATGAAACTTTTAGTAGTCACCCCGATATTTTGTTTCAATTAGAATATTCTCTTCTAAATTTGAATGGCACGCGAACAGTAATTTGCATGGCAGTAGAAAAATTTTAAAAATGCCTAAGTCCCAATAATATTATCTTGATGTCCAATGTCCAGGCATAAAATATCATTCCTTGCATATTATTTTCCTATTTTTACCATTTCAGTACACCATGAGCCCTCCCCCGCGCTCCATCTTAGAAATATATATGGACAGTGTATAATTATAGCACCATGCTTCTCCGTTCATTCGCCTATTATAGTTGCAAAAGAAAATGATAGTTGCGCTTAAACTTGTTGGTTCTAATATTATAGCACATGAAATCTTAGTACAGCTCTTAAAATACTAAAAACGCATTTGATGATCATGTTTTTCGACCTATCAAGCTTATCAGCCAACTTTTTAATCAAACATGTTACATGTAACTTTTCACCAATTGCGTAACACTTTTTAAGCTTACACGTAACTTTTCACCAATTGTGTAGTAATAAGAAAAAGTAAGGTCAATGTTATTTTGCTGGCTAAATTGGTTGAAGTAATCATAGAAGGTCATTTATTTTAGCTATTTTTTCATATACATTTTTTCTTTATTTTAAAAAAATATTTTAAATATATTTTTTCCCCATAAATTAGCAGAATCAACAAATTTAGCCACTTCTGCCAGGACTTCATAAATTTCAACAAAATCAGTCGATTAAGTCAATTTCAATATAATTTTATCAAACAGGTTTTGAATTTTGAAGCAATAATCAGATGAGGTAGCGTATCTTATCACATGTACCTTTTCCCATAAAAGCTAGTTAATTGAGTGGATAATAATTAATCACCTTGAACAAGATGTTTGGACAATAACATAAAGATGTTTTTTTTAACAATAACGCGTTTCAACAGAATTAATTAAAACCAGCCAAAAAAACAAAATTAATTAAAACCAGCCAAAAAAGCATGCAAAATATTGACCTACAGTTGTT